TAACTTCGGTAAACATATATAAATTCTGAATTTATACAATCAGGAACCAAATTATACAAAATTATGATATATACAATCAGACGAATTATACAACGTAGGTGAATTATACAAACTAAATGAATAGCAAGATTTGAGGGAACTATGTCGGCAAATCACAATTTTTTCAAAACAGTTGTTATAACATTTAATATCGTTTAAATATTTGTGATTTTTCAAAACAATAGCTATAACATTTAATATCGTTTAAATATTTATTATTCTGCACAATTTTCCCTTTTTTCAATCATCTTTTACTATGTTATTAATCTTTGTTAACAGATGGATTTCTAACTAAATCAAATTATAGGGTGAGAAGACAACAATAATAAAATTATGAACTATTGTCTCATTTATACTCGAGTTTACGTTCTTTCTTTTGCGAGCCAATGATTGATCTTTGCCAAATAAAATGGAATTTCTACGCTGGCCTTTTGGTACTCTCGTCTGTAAAATGATCAAAAGAACACTGGAATACGTAGAATACAAAACTAAATAAATTAATCATGCATTTAGCATGGTAAGATCCTCCTTGTCCTTACCATTGGAACAATTATGGTTTAAGTATTACTATTGTTCACTTTTATATATCTGCTATATTAGAATTTGATGTTTATTTTATTTATGTTCAATTTAGAAATGGTTAAGAGATAACACTTGTTTATGTTAGTCAATCAAAAAATGATATGTTAATGATAAAATTAATGTTTCATTTTGTAATGTATCAATATTTAAGTTTAATTAGTGGATACACTAAATCCTAATTTTGTTCATTATTTGAGTAGTTGTAATTATATGAAGTTATAAAATATATAATGTATAAAATGTTGTAATATGCTTAGTTGTGCATTAGTCACAAGATTGATACAAAAATAATGTTCAATAGTGTATCAGTCAAAATTTGTATTATTCAATGTGTATCTGATACATTAGTATCATATTAAATGATGTATCAGTCAAAACTTGTATTAGTCAGTGTATATAAGATACATTATATCCAATTTTAATAAATAAGTATCAGATACAAAAGTTTTGGCTAGTGATAAGCATAAACCAGTGATATAGCATGTAAGTATTAGTGTGATTTTGTTTTGAATTATAATGTATCTTCTGCATTTTGAAGGGACTGTGGATTGTTTGTATCTGCATTTGCTGAGTTCCTTAGCAATGAAATTCATATTCCATCCAATGATTTCCTATCAGATTACATCCGTACACGATATGCAGCCCTATTAAAGAAGTTCGGTATCGAAAAGGCCAAGGCAAGATACATTAGTGAAAATGAGGATCCATCTAAGAGTCAATTCACAGCACCAACTTAAGAGGATTTGGTTAATGTTGAATAGAGATAATCTATCAGTTGTTAGACACCTTTTTAGAGTGTTATGGTTTTTAAGTTACATTAACTCTAGTTTTAGAGTGTTTGTTTTTATTGTTTTAAGATACTTCTTTCTACTCAAGTATTAGAGTGTTTCTCTTAAAACTTGTTTATTTTGACTTCAACTTTCATTATATTTAGTTTTTATTTACAATATGATTTGTCTTATACATTTGTCTTATATAATCTGATACAAAAATGTCATAAAATTAAGTATCAGATTCATTTGTGCATACACATACAAAATTCTTTTTTCACATTAGTTCTAGTTAGTTGCTGACACATTTGACAACTAACCAATACAATGTACTCAATAACTTGATTGTTGATTCATTCATGTATATACTTGATAACTTAGTTGTAGTTAGTTGTTGATTTATTCATGTTGATAAATTGGACACTTAGTTGTAGTTAGTTGCTGATTCATTCATGTATCCAATTGATAACTTGATTCTTATTTATTGTGATACATTTATAGATACACTTTATTTCAGTTTACATACACCATTTTTTTCACAACCTTATTATATCAGATACATTATTATCAACTGCAAAATGATACATTATATAAAAAAATGTATCTTATCAACTTGAAATCTTCCACAATTGCATATTATCTTTCAAGGCAAATAATGTATCTTCTTCCAGAATCATAGACTGAATAAAGAAACTCGGATGATGCAACAACCTGTTAACATTAAAAAAATTAGTGAAACATTCCATAAAACAGTTATTTTCTATGTATCAATCACAAACAATCAGACAACTAACTTATACTTAATATCTGATACAAAATATAAATATAATCTGATACATATCCTCATTGTCGAACATTTTGATGTTTTTACAACAAATTACATGTATAATGTATCATCTATAAAATACAATATTTCACAAACACAATAAGATACAAAAATAGTAATGTATCATGCTAAATATTTGGTCATGATACAAGATCTGATATATATTAACTATCACACAGTAATGTGTTGAACTCTAAGCAAACACTTTACGTGTAAAATTTACTAATTTAATGTATCTAATTAATAGAAATACAATACTTATCAATTTATACGAGATACCTAAATACTAATGTATCACGATTGATCTAGTCATCTCGAAAATACAAATAAAAAATTGAATTAATAACACAATAGATGTAATTCAATACCTCTACTGTCAGATCTATTTTACGCTGAAATTAAAGTTCTGGTCTATTTTATACATTGCGAATCCAGTCTCATATTTTTTCCAGATTCCTGAATGTTAGATCTAATTTTTCTTTTCAAATTCATGAATGTCTTAGTAAAATCAAAATATTCATGATGTATCTTCTCAAAAAATTCGATAATTGTGAATCAAAATTGAAATCTTCGATGAACTGGGAGAAGAAATTGGAAATCCATCATTTCTGTATCATTCATAACTCACCTCGCTTTCCCAAATTTCTCAATGTCTCAACAAAATAGAAATATTCACCATGTATCAGTCATTGTTTTCGACTTTTTGAATCTATTACGATTTGGGTGAGAATTGAGAGAAGAAAATTTGAATTGTTTGAAGCTGGGCGAATTTGGAAGAGAATTCAGAGAAAAAAATTTGAATTTTTTGAAGTTGGGCGGATTTAGAAAAGAATTGAGAAAATAAAATTTTAATTTTGAATTGATTGAAGCAGCGTAAATGAATTTGCTTAAATGTATCGTATCTAATGTATCCGGCTTTTGCTATGTATCAGGATAACACTAATTTTAAGGGATTTTTATAGATTGAAAAAAGAGTAGGAATATGATGTAATTTACTCCTTACACTATGAGATTTATATAAGTTATAAAATGTTCCACACCTAAAAAAGATGTTTATGTGATTTCTATAACTTTCAAATACTCATAATAAAACTACAAGATATTATTGTTTATGAAGAATAATTTGGATGCGCAAAATTTGAACTTCATTTCCTGCTACAAGCCTAATTGACCTCAACTTCAAAACATGATTACTTGTTGACATTTTGAACACCAAAATTTCAGAATTTTGGGCCTGTTCATTCAATTCTAACTACTGTCATATATTTTGTTTAATATCTATTGTGGTGTAACATGAGCAAATAGGATAACAAGTAGCACCAATGGTCTAGTGGTAGAATAGTACCCTGCCACGGTACAGACCCGGGTTCGATTCCCGGCTGGTGGATTCTTGGGTTAGCTGTGAAGATAAAGTCTGCGCTCAATGTGGTGATTTGGGTCTCCGCACTCATCCGACTAAACATGGTGATAGTTGCACATAGGTGTGTCAAATGAGCAGATTAGATTGAAATTGGAGATATTAAAATGGGTTGAAATAGGAGTCGGGGTTCGGTCTTGACCCAACCAATTTGACCCGATTAAAATCTCAATAATTTAACATATTGATATTTAACTTTTATAATCACAATTTGTATTTCAACTAAAGAATTTTTTTAAAAAAAGCAACAAATGGATAGATAAATCCTAAAAGATGTTAAATAGATAATAATTCATACCTTCAATTTAATCAATTATTTAAAGAATGATTTTATCAAATCAAAAGTATGCATGATCATAACGAAGTTGTGAAGTTTCGCTATAGAGAAGGTCCGAAAACAATAACTCATGTTTTTATGTTAGTTTTTGTCCGTACTTAGTCATAATGTAAAATATTTGACCAGAGAACCCCAGAGGAGATTTTTCCAAGACTTGGGGTTTTTCTCTCCTGAGATAAGTGCTTTCCGTTCATTCATTTCTTCCATAATTCGGTTTCCTCCCAGAACAGATAAAAATATCCATAGGATTTTATCCATTGAAACCTAGGGTTATTATTTTGATGGCACAACATGTGGGGCAGGTTAATTATGAATGATTTTCAATTCTAGTCCGTTAAATTTTGTGTTTCTAGTATAGAATTATAAACCTAGCCTACCTAGAAACCCCATAAAATTGATTCTTTGAGCATATGAATTGCTCAACAGTAGTTAATGAGGTTGAAATAGTAATCTAGTTATTACAAAGAAAGTGTCCGCTATAGTGAAACACTAGCAGATTTTCATACTCGATTTTCCATTTCCAGATTTCTACTGACTCTTGACCCACAAAGATCTACACAAGGGTACTATTGCCCTAAACAACTATAATGACGGAATAGGTCATTACACATCTACTGAATAATCTTACTTGTAGCCAAATAGTTGTTATCTACAAGAACTTTGTTGAGGGAGAGTTTTCCTTGTCCTAAGACAAAAATGTTAGCTAGTTTTGGACATCATTCTGTTTACATTTGGACAAAACTTCACACCACACCAGACAAAAAGGTAAGGTGCTAATTTTTTAAACTTTTGTTGTTTGCAGAACTATGTAGTATGGTTCGGCAACTGCCTTGATAGAAATATTGTGCCTTTATGGAAAATCTCTTATTTTCTGAATAGGTGTCTCTAAATGGTCTATGAGAGTCATTCAGGGAGGATATGGGATGGTTATGAAAAGGGCAAAGTAGACAGCAAATCAATTTATAGTCTTGATTTTATTTCAAAAATTCATGTCCAAACTACTTGCTTGACTAATACCCGCAACATAACTAATACCCACATAACTTACTAGTAATGTCTTGTCATTGCAAACAAATACAAGCAGATGGTCATGTTAGTTTGCAGCAACACATGGCTGCTTCCATATTATCATATACAATAGAGGACAAGCTTAAAGTAGTAGTAGCTTAAGCTATTCAAGAATCCAATGGTCCATAAAGAACTAATAGGGTGGTGGCCTGGTGGGTTAAAGAATGTACATTTTTGGATAGAATTTTTGTTCTGAATGGTGATCAAACATCATCAGCATCACTTCCTGCAACATGAGTATCATGACTAGCCCAGTAATGGCTTCCATCAGGGCCAGTAATCTTAAACCTGTTGAGTATAAAAGAAAGTGCCTCAGTGGGGACTTATGATATGTTCCTAACTCAATTTTAAAGAAAACTGAAGTAATCAACTGACCGCTCAAGCACTGATTTTCCTTCTTTGTACTTTTGGCTCTTCTCATGGGCGGTCTCCTGAAAAGAATTGTTATATTAGGAACAACTAAAACTTCTAGCAACTGCCAAACGACAATGTCTAGCATTTTATCACTCCATACTCACATATTTCCATCCAACAATTGACCCACAACAGACGCAGAAAATGTCAGCCACAGTGTGCATACCAGTCATCATCATTCTATTTTCTATCTCGCCAGAAGTGACATTCACCCTGTCAAAAGAAAAAAAAGGCGTATAGAATATACAGAACTACAAAGTGCATTACCATTTTGTATGTTTCTGCTAAATGATAAAATGAAATGAAGAGATTTGAGAAGAGCAGAACTCTTGAACAGGAAAGCAGTCAAGTTGAGCATAATATATGTATTTCAGCCATGTAACTATTGTAATGTTGCTACCCAGTGGAAAATAACCCAAGTCAAGTAAGAATTTATTCAATATATGGATGTGTTAATATTTGTACTCCTGGAAAATACACTCAAAAGTACACGATATAATAGTCTGGTAAAATCCCCACTAGGTTCTATAGTACTGATTCCAATAGATCAAATTTTGGTGCTAATTTTATAGTCAATGACACAAATGTTAGATATACATATAAAGTACCATGTCTTTAACAAACTAAACCTACAAGGTATAGCCTACCTTGTTCAACTTTTCATGTGCACTCAAATATTCTAGGTTGGTTATGAGTTATGACCTTCCATAATAATAATGACTTAGAACTAATAACAAAATCAAAGATCCTAAGAGCAATGTCAATGACACAAATGTATGAAGATATAAATATAAAGTACCATGTCTTTAACAAACTAAACCTACAAGGTATAGCCTACCTTGTTCAACTTTTCATGTGCACTCAAATATTCTAGGTTGGTTGTGACCTTCCAAAATAATAATGACTCGGAGCTAATAACAAAAATCAAAGATCCTTAGAGCTATGTGACCCACGTAGAGTAAAAGCCGAATAATTTGCACATACTCCAGTTGCACTCAACTTTTGAAAATCAAATCTTTTTTCATATCAAATCATGAAAATTTTGGCTAACTACTACCAACATGAATTCTTCAATCCTTCATTTTTTTCACTTTCTAGTTTAACAGTGTCCCTCCACACCAGTAAAAGAAGGGGTGGAAGTTAAATAAGAGGATTTAAATGGTAGCTTTTTTCATCTTTCTGTACCAGAGGTATGGATTAGCTTGTCTGTAGTAATATCATTGTTCATCTAACCAAGCTACAAATAACTCATGTCCCATCAATGCCAAAAAAAGCTTAACAACAATCAGAGGAAATAAATGGTAATTCATATTCTAACAAGAATAAAACCAACAGAAATTGTAAGTTGCACTTGTGATTTTCATGCTGCAAGTTTAAAGATTAGACATGTGAAAATGTCACATACATATCTGATGATTGAATGTGCAGAATCAAAGAAACTTACACTTTACTGAAGAGGTAAGCCTTCCCATGTCTGCAGTGGAAAGACTGAAGGAAAGATCAGAAGGAAAACATAGAGAGTTAGATAACTTCATGACTCAGAATGACTACATACATTATTTAGGGGCTGAAACAAGAATGTAACATAAACTTCAATATAATTAATTGCAGAATTAACATTTCACTCCATTCAAAAGCATTTGAATTTTCTAAGAAACAGTAGTTTCAAAGCTCCAACACTTGAAAATGTGCTCTGATTTTATGCTATAGAAGTCATATGGAATTCTTCATTGGATAGACTGACCTACAAAGTCAACGTATATAACAAAGAAAGTCATGAATGCACATTACAATGAAATTGAGCAAAATAAAGTGACCAAACAAGCACCAAATTGATCAAAATATAGAAAATAGATCAGTCCCAAGACCTGATCAATGGACTGGGCATAACAATAATAGTTTGAAATATTGAAGCCACTAGCACACAAACATGGAACAAATGGAAAATGCCAATCAAGTATACTCCAAGTATCAGACTCAACAAACAACTCCTCTAATTCATAACTGGATTAAGCAGGAATATTGTATGGTATGCTATCAGCAATAATAACTACTATGTTTTTAAAAGTTCACAAAGAATGCTCATACAATCCCTTTTACTCCAAAACCAGCAACTCCACAAAACCCAGCTCTTTGATGCTAAAAAATTCATCTCCTTTAGGGAAAAATTACTCAATCTGAGACATTCTTCACTCACATAGCTGATTTAAAGTAGCCAATTTTTATATACATCTAAAATTACTTAAACAGACCAACAGCAATCCCTAACAAGTTCTAGAAGCGAACCCAAACCACCGATCAAGCCAAAGATTGTATTTTTACAACGAAATAAATCAAAATCAAAATTAAAACAATCCCAATTTCAAGAAATCACAATAACAGAGTGATCAAACAGAAAAGATGGAGGAAAAAAATATCTCAATTTCAAGAAATCACAATAACAGAGTGATCAAACAGAAAAGATGGAGGAAAACCTTGGAAACAATGTTTTCAGAAAGGGCAAGATGAGTTCCACAGTGCTTGCAGCTGTAGATCTTGCCTTCAAGAGTCAACACAAATAATCTCCCCATCAAAGATTTTTGAGATCACAAGAAAATTGATGAACCAAAATGGAAAAGGACTTATCCAAAAAGGGGTAATAGTTTTTGTTTCGGCTGGAAGATAGCAAATAACGTCAAGAAAAGGGAAAGGAGTCAATGTGTGAGGGACCTTTGAATAATTTAATGCTACTTGTTTTTTTCCTTTTTAGTCCATTTAAAAAATGAAAAAGATAAAAAAAAAATCCTTAAATTATGTAAAAATGAATAAAAATGTTACTATTATTTTATGAACAAAATTACCCTCAAGAGTACAAGTAATTATGTACCTGAAATGCCGGCAGTACAGTAGACAAAGGCAAAGATCATGCCACCAAAAGCCCAAGTAATGCCTTGAATTCCAACAGTTGAACATTTGGAATCGGATTTAGAAACGCCCATGACGGTTAAAACAGTGATATAAAGGAAGTGTTGATCAGTATAGAGAAATAACAAGCTACATGTATGAGTTAGTTAGTTAGTTAAAAGGGTTCAGATCCCAAGAATCAGTTAGTAAGTTTGTTAGAGTCATAAGTGTGTATATATACATCTCAGTAGCTGATGTATTATTCATTCACGTGAAAACAATGTAAAGGCAACTTGATGTGAGCTCAATAATATCTTCTCATCCTCTCTTCTTCTCAACTCCTTCTTCAATTACTTCAGATCTTAATCTCCATTAATGGAGTTATCACGGTATCAGAGCCACTGATCGAAGGATAGCTTTTGTGAGTATTACTTGACCACTGGATACTCAGAGTTTATCACTAATCAAGTGAGACTCAAAAGGAAGTATCAAAGGTTCAACTAAGCTGAAATTCATATCTCTGCACATGGCGATTGACAGTGCGAGTGAAGGTACAAACAATGGTGCTGTTCCTGTGGCTACATTTCCAATCATAGATCACAATCATCCTCTGTTTTTACAACACACAGATACTCCAGGTAGCTCCTTAATTTCTCTGCAATTAACTGGTTCTGAGAATTATGCACTGTGGAGTAGATCGTTTAGAATTGGACTTGTAGGTCGTAGCAAGTTAGGATTTGTGGATGGTAGATTTCCTAAATCCATGTTTGAACCAGTGTTACATGATCAGTGGGAGAAATGTAATGCTGTAGTTTTATCCTGGATCATGAATGCTGTTAGACCAGGATTACTAAGTTCAGTTGTGTATGCTTCTGATGCAAGGAAAGTCTGGATAGATCTTAGGGAAAGATTTGATACTGTGAATGGTTCGAGGATCTTTCACATTCACAGAGAAATTCATACTCTCACACAAGGAACAATGACCATTGCTGATTATTTCTCCAAACTGAGAGATCTCTGGGATGAATATGATGCTATTATGCCCTGTCCATCTTGTCCTTGTGTAGAATCAAGGAAATTTAGTGAACATTGTGACTATCAGAGATTACTTCAATTTTTGATGTGTCTAAATGAGTCTTATTCCCCACCTAGAAGTCAAATTCTCATGATGAGTCCCATTCCTACATTTAACAAAGCCTATGCTCTTCTTATGGATCAAGAGTCTCAAAGGAACCTAGTGCACTCCACTTTACCTGGTTCAGGAACTGGTCTGATTGAAGGTGCAGCTATGTATAGTCACAGGAACTCTAACTATCCTACAGGATCAAGTAGTAACTCTGGTTCTAGTCGAGTTTATAGTGATGGTGCAAGCTCATCTGGTAATCACAAACCTAGGCAGAATGTGTTAATATGTTCACTGTGGATGCAAAGGCCACTCCAAAGAGCACTGCTACAAAATTGTTGGCTATCCAACAGATTTTAAGTCAAAGAGAAAAGGCTCAACTTCAAGTGCTTCTGCTAACCAGGTTGAGACTTCCTCAGGGAGTAATCATAGAACCAGTTCTACTCAATTACAGCAGTCTGCAGCTTTCTTCACTCAGGAACAATACCAGCAGATCATTCAACTGCTTTCAAAACCTGATGGTGACAGATCAGTGGAGTCCCCTGCAAAAGTTACTTCTGTAGATGCAGGTAATTTTCCTACTGCATCTTTGTGTTCATATGGTCCTGATGACTGGATTATAGATACAGGAGCTACTCACCACATCACCTCTTCTCTAGCTTCACTTACGACTAATAATGCAACTCCCGGTGATTCAACTAGTAAAGTGCACCTACCTAATGGTAACACAGTTGCAGTGTCTCACATTGGTAGCACTTGTATCTTGGCTAATCAAACCATATCCAATGTGCTGCACTTACCTGACTTTCAAGTTAACTTAGTCTCAGTCTCCAAGCTCACTAAGGAACTCAAGTGCATGGTGGCATTCTTTCCTGACTTTTGTGTTTTTCAGGATCTCTACACTGGTCAGGTGAAGGGGATTGGTAAGGAAGATCATGGACTCTACATACTAACAAGGGGACCTAATCAAGCTCCAAGGAAGCTGGTCAATAGTAGTATGAGTTCTAGGAGTCAAAGTCATAACACCTCTGTTGCTAAGTCCATTGTTTTGCCTTCTTTACATTCTATTTCTATGTGTGAGTCAGCTGATGTATGGCACAAAAGGTTAGGACATGCACCCATTGATATAATAAAGAGACACAAATCTCTTAGTGCCTTAAGTAGCAACGATAATTCACATTGTACAGTGTGCCCTCTAGCTAAGCACACTAAACTCCCTTTTCCTTTAAGTACTACTTTGTCTAAAGGTGTATTTGAATTGTTGCACTGTGATATATGGGGACCATACAAAGTGCCTACCTACAATGGAAAAAGGTTCTTTGTTACAATTGTGGATGATTACAGCAGATATACTTGGCTGTTTTTACTTGCTTCCAAAGCTGATACTATAGTGGTTCTAAGGAAATTTCTTACCCAGGTTAAAAATGTATTCTCCACCACTGTTAAAACCTTGAGAACAGATAATGGATGTGAATTTCTCAGTCATGCTTTTCAAAGCATGCTAGGTGAACTTGGCATTGTCCATCAAACAACTTGTGTGTACACACCACAGCAAAATGGTGTTGCTGAAAGAAAACACAGAACCATTTTAAATATGGCACGGTCTATAAGGTTTCAAGCATCTATTCCACTTCAGTACTGGGGTGAATGTGTTTCCACTTCTGTGTACATATTGAACAGGCTGCCTTCAAGAGTTCTTGGTTTCCAATCGTCTTTTGAAAGGTTGTATATGCATCCTCCATCTTTGTCTCATCTGAGGGTATTTGGTTGTCTATGTTATGCGGCCTGTCCTAAAGTGTTGGAAAAATTTTCACCTAGGGCAATTCCTGCAGTTCTTATGGGGTATTCCTCCACACAAAAAGGGTACATTTTGTATGATTTTCATGGTCATGCTTTCTTTGTTAGCCGAAATGTTGTTTTCCAAGAACATTTATTTCCTTTTAAACATGCTCAGGAGGCATCAAATCCTATGTTTCCAGTGCTGGATTTAGTGCCAAGAGATGACGGTCCTAGTGTCATCTCAGGTGTTTCTACTTCACCTACTCAACAGGTTCCTGAGATGCCTGCGCTTTTAACTGATGGTTCAGCTGGTTCTCCCATTCATGTGCCTACAGCTCCTCTTCCACTTTCTGTTATCCCAGATGAATCCACTAGAAGATCCACCAGGACCAGCAGACCTCCAATTTGGTTGCAGGATTTTATCACTCAGCCAAGAGGCAACACTTGTCTCTATCCTTTAGCTGATCACCTCATATATTCCAAGTTGTCCGAATCATATCAACAAGTGTTAAAAGCATACTCAGTTGTTTGTGAGCCTGTGTCCTACAAAGACGCTGCGTCTGATCCAGCTTGGGTAAAAACAATGCAGTTAGAGATTGATGCCTTACAAAGCAACAAGACTTGGAGTATTGTTGATCTTCCCCCTGGTAAGAAGCCAATTGGCTGTAGGTGGATTTATAAGGTTAAATACTTGTCATCTGGAGAGGTGGAAAGGTTCAAGGCCAGACTAGTTGCCAAGGGGTTTAGCCAAAGAGAGGGCCTTGACTATGGAGAAACATTTAGCCCAGTCGCAAAGATGGTTACAGTCAGATCAATTGTAGCACTTGCTGCCTCTAAAGGCTGGCACATCTTTCAAATGGATGTCCACAATGCCTTTCTCAATGGAGATCTTCTTGAAGAGGTATACATGGACATTCCTTGTGGTTTTCCAGCCAAGGGGAGAGTCATAAGGTCTGTAAATTACATAAGTCTTTGTATGGGCTCAAACAGGCACCAAGGTAGTGGAATGTGAAACTAACAGAGGCTCTGGTAGCTATGGGGTTCAAGCAGAGTCATTATGATTATTCCTTGTTTACAAAATTGGCTGGAAGTGACACTGTGGTAATACTAGTTTATGTAGATGACTTATTGATCACTGGAAACAATCACCAGCTGCTGTGTGACACTAGACTAGAAATTCAAAAGAAGTTTAAGATGAAAGATTTGGGGGAATTGAAGTTCTTTCTTGGCATTGAATTTTCTAGGTCTAACAAGGGGATATTAATGTCACAAAGGAAGTATGCCTTAGAGTTGATATCTGAATCTGGCCTAGGGGGAGCAAAACCAGCTTGCACACCATTGGAGATTAATCAAAAGCTCACATCAGTCAAATATGATGAGCACATTAACAATGGACATGCTAGGGATGATGACATTCTGACTGATATTACACAGTACCAAAGACTAATAGGAAGGCTTTTATATCTTACTATGACAAGACCTGATATTGCATTCTCGGTACAGGTCTTAAGTCAGTTTATGCATTGCCCTAAACAATCACATATGGATGCAGCTTTAAGAGTCATCAGATATATCAAGAAAGCACCTGGATTAGGTTTGTTTATGCCTGCAGAAGACACCACTATACTAACAGCCTACTGTGACTCTGACTGGGGAGCATGCTTGGAAACTAGGAAATTAGTCACAGGCTACTTGGTTAAGTTTGGAGGAGGACTCATCTCTTGGAAGTCTAAGAAACAGGACACAGTTTCAAGGAGTTCTGCTGAAGCAGAGTTTAGAAGTATGGCTGCATGCACTGCTGAAGTAACCTGGTTGATTGGTTTGTACAAAGAGCT